TTGATACAATTGCTTACTTATAAGTCACAAGATTCCAGTAAGTTATAGGACAGAAACTGACAGAATCACTACACCGTTTGATCTTCGTTAAAATCAGTCAGTTATATATTAGGTTAGAACCAAGATTCGTAGCGTTTTTTTAATAGGTAGCATTTGAACATGTGATTTCGTTTCATCTTTGCCTACAATGTATGACATACATTATGAAATGGACAAAGTCCGACAATTATTTTAAGACATTTTTTATGTTTATACATTCTGTTTATAGATACAAATATTTAAGAAAATGTTCTGTTTATAATAAACAGTATTAAGCAGCATTTACCGGCCTGAATGTCCGAGAAATTTTCTTCGAAAATATTCGTCCTCCGACAGCAATCGAACCTGTATCCTATACGGAACCGACATATAGCCTGACGTGCCTTAACCGTTTCGGCCATAGAGGAGCGTTCAATTAGCAATGTCGATTTTACTGTCTTTAAACTACAATCTTCCATGATTCTCTCACGCACATTCATATCTGCTCATGGCGTATCCAAATGTAAACAAATGACATCGCACATTATGAAATGGACAAAGTCCGACAATTATTTTAAGACATTTTTTATGTTTATACATTCTTTTTATAGATACAAATATTTAAGTAAATGCTCTGTTTATAATAAACAGTATTAAACAACATTTACCGGCCTGAATGTCCGTAAAATTTTCATCGAAAATATTCGTCCTCCGAATACGTATGATTTTTCTCCGTTTCAGTATAAAACGTTTAAATTCACAAACCAGGCACGAATCAAATAGAAAGACTCGCAGAATTGTCACCTGTATCCGATACGGAACCGTCATAAAGCCTGGCGTGCTTTTACCGATTGAGCCACAGAGGATCGTTCGGTTAGCAAGGTCGATTTTACTGCCTTTAAATTACAATCTTCCATGAATCTCTCACGTACATTCATATCTGCTCAAAGCGTATCCAAATGTAGACAAATGACGTCACACATTATGAAATGGACAAAGTCCGACAATTATTTTAAGACATTTTTATCTTTATACATTTTTTTTTATAGATAGAAATATTTAAGTAAATGCTCTGTTTATAATAAACAGTATTAACAACATTTACCGGCCTACAACTTTACAGAGTATTTACTTAAATATTTGTATCTATAAAAAGAATGGATAAACATAAAAATGTCTTAATGTATGACATATATACATATTCTGGAAGGTGAAAATTCTACGAATCTTTCTATTTGATTTGTGCCTGGTTTGTGAATTTAAATGTTTTATACTTAAACGGAGAAAAATCATACGTATTTTCGTCATTTCATGCTCTTTTATTAGTGACAAGGAGAAAAAATCATTTTGCAAACAGCAAAAGAGATGTGAGACATTTATGCAAAAGGTGCCATAGCTAAGATTATGGTTCTTGAATAGAGAAACATCGTAACGATTACGTGAATCGCTACGATGCTTTGGCGCCTGTTTAACCGAAAAATTATTTAATGGAAGGCTTACGGCCAATCATATTGAATCCCCGGTTCCAAACTACTATAACCGAAGTTAAGCAACGTCGAGCCTAGTCAGTACCTAGATGGGTGACCACTTGAGAATACCAGCTGCTGTAAGTTGGTGTAATGGAAAATTGTTCTGAATTTTTTAATTAGAAAGCCGAATTCCAGTTCCCTGTTCACATATGCGTAAATAGCCTTGAGAAATGTATGAATTCTCCTCCAAGCTATGGATTAAATAGTAAGACTTGTATCGCTAAATCATTACTCTTCTTACAATGTAAAAATATTTCTAGCTTTAAATAACCCGTAGAAAACGAATCAATCAAATGGATGGACTACATTCCTATCTGCGATTCTCTGATTTTAAAAAGAATGATCACAAAATGAATGTGAAATGATAAAGTCTTGGAGAAAATGAAACGAGTCATCGTTAACCATTTTAAAAGCCAGTCTTCATCCGAAGACGTTAATGCTGTGTATTTGGTAATCATTGCATATTAAGACATTCATCCACAAAGTCTGATTTCTGATAAGCACTGCTCCCAACTGAATTGATTAAAGGCAGCAATCGATGAAAAACATCTCGAATTGGCCAATCAGAATGGTGCCGTCTTCCATCAGGACAACGCCAGAATTCTCGTCTCTGCATGCATGACAGAAATTCGTGCAGCCTGTTTGCGATGTTCTACTAAACCCGCTATACAAAGTTGACCTTAAACCTTCGAAATATCTCTTCTAAATTCTATTAATGGAAGAACTGCAATTCTTTGGGAATCTATAAAAAACACTTAGACAAGTTCATTACCAAGAATGATGTCAAGTTTTGCAGGATGGAATTATTGATGTTCCTCAGAGATAGCAAAAGCTAATGTAACAGAAAATACACGTATGGCTGTTCAAATCTATTTAAATCTGTCTAAATATTTTCTATGAAATTCACTTAAAAACACTAAGAACTTTTGCACCGACCCAATACACACACACACACACACACACACACACCTTTGTAAAACATAAAATTTGTAATATAACTTTGTCAAAACTTATGAAACTAGTTAAAATCAATACATTTTGATCGATTGCATATCGATTTTCAATAATTTCATTGAACTTCTAATGTTTACAAAGAGTTATTTATATATTCAAGCTAGCGTGTTTAACGTTGAAAAAGTAGTCAAAACAGCTTGATTTTGCATGTAAATCACTATGTATTCAAACCTATGTTATATATATATATATATATATATATATATATATATATATACACGCAACGCTCTTCATTAATGAATTGAGTCCTCTGGCTGATGACGTTTGTATACATCTCGTATATAATATGTTAACATTTCTCTTTCTCTGCGTGCGCCGATAGTTTGTGTAGGATCTCCGACTGATGCCATATCCGTCGAGTTTCCATCCCGGCTTGAAGCAATCGGATGTCTACTCAAACTGATGAGCTGTGATACACCGAAACAGGCTTGTATGTTGATGATAATGAAATATATATATATATATAATATGTGTGTAAAATGATAGTTCTATATTTGGAAACAGGGTAAAAGACAGTGTGTTTTATGTCTACATATGTGTGTGTATGCGAATGGTTGCGATTACGTGCGTGTCATTGTGATATATGAGTGCATGTGTATGTGTGCTTGTGTGTATCCGCGTGCGTGTTGAAAGTGCGTGTCTGTTTTATGGAGCGTGGAACTGTTTATATTTCATTTCTCATTTGATTATTTGACGAATGTTGGTCACGTATGACTTTGTCAGGGTGGGGCCTTGCGGAGATGGAGTCACGCAGATTAAGACGAATGGTCATGGTGAGGAAGAGAAATGAACTTCTGTTATTTATTTCCAACGACCAATGCAGCGATTCAAGTGTTCCTTAACAAAGAAAGAAAGAAAGAAAGAAAGAAAGAAAGAAAGAAAGAAAGAAAGTAAAAGAAAGAAAGAAAGAGAGAAAGAAAGAAAGTAGAAGAAAGAAAGAAAGTAGAAGAAGAAGAAAGAAAGAAAGAAAGTAGAAGAAAGAAAGAAAGAAAGTAGAAGAAAGAAAGAAAGAAAGAAAGAAAGAAAGAAAGAAAGAAAGAAAGAAAGAAAAAGAAAGAAAGAAAGAAAGAAAGAAAGAAAGAAAGAAAGAAAGAAAGAAAGAAAGAAAGAAAAGACTAAGGAGTCAGTCAGGCCTTTCATTCCGTTTTCAGGAGCGTGGAACCAACTCTTAATTGCTGGTGTTCCTAGGTCCACACTGAGCAGGGAATTGTAAATAGTTACCTCCCCAAAAGGGGTCAAAGCACTATGAATTTTTTAAAAGTAGGTTTTAATACCAGCAATACTTTTTTGGAAAATGTATTACCAAAAATACATTTTTGAAAAAAAAAATTTACAGCAATACATTTTTGAAAAAAAAATATTACCAGCAATACATTTTTTTAAAAATAAAATATTACCAGCAATGCATTTTTTGGGGAAAAAAATATTACCAGCAATACATTTTTGCAAAAATATATTACCAGAATTAAAAATAACCCATTGAGATTGATATACCGTAAAACAAACCAAACTAAACGAAAGACACTGAAAAAGAGTGATAAAAAGTGATTACAGGAGGAGGAGGAGATAGCGACGTGTGAATGAAGTTAAAATAAAAGCGGTGTCATATGAAAACCGTCCTTGTCGGCATTAAATAACCCGTTGAGGTTGATATGCGTTAAAACAAAACAAAGCAAACCAAACCAAACTAAGGAATCAGAGAAAGAAGGTGGTCAAAGGGGGTGGGGGGGAATGTAAAAGACTCCAAGGATAAAGTGGGGGAAATACGCTATTCCATACTTGAGTTTTTCCAAAGTGAAATCAAGGCAAATATTATCAAGAGTAATACTCAAATCACATTTGATATTCCCTCGAGGCATGCGTACTGAAAGGTGAAAGCAGGATTTTTACAACAAATACAGAAAGAAATTAAGAGGTTGAAGCAGAGGAAAATAAGATAAATTAAAAGCCTCAGTGGAAATTATGATGAAAAGAAAGAGTATGATTCCGATGAAGAGAAAGGGTTTCAATAAAGACAGAGAAAAGATGTTAAAGAACTTAAAGCAATGAACGCAAAAGAGAAAAAGAGAATGTTAACCAAGAGTGAAAGAGAGAGAGTTTAAATTAAGTAAAAATTTAGATAGAAAAGGGGAGTTAAACTGAAAGAGAGAGGAAATCATATGAACATAAAAAAAGAGAAAAATAAAGAGAAGAGAAAAACAGAAAGATCAGAAAAGAGAAAGAGAAGAACATAACCAATAAAAGAGAAGAATCGAAATTAAAAGAAAGAGAATGAGCAAAAAGTATATTTAAAGCCAAATAAATAGAACTGAAGTGTTAAATCCCAAAATAAAACAGTAATTAAAATTAAAATTCTAATCAGGGCAGATGAAGGAATTTAGTCAAAAATAAACTTAGCGAGAATTGTGTGGTGTTATGATAGAAGAAAAAAAGTGAAATTTAAAAGAGAGAGAAAAAAAGAGTTCGAAGAGAGAGGAATAGAGACGAAGAGAGAGAGATAGGAATAGAGACGAAGAGAAAGAGAAAGGAATAGAGACGAAGAGAAAGAGAGAGGAATAGAGACGAAGCGAAAGAGAGAGGAATAGAGACGAAGAGAAAGAGAGAGGAATAGAGATGAAGAGAAAGAGAGAGGAATAGAGACGAAGCGAAAGAGAGAGGAATAGAGATGAAGAGAAAGAGAGAGGAATAGAGACGAAGAGAAAGAGAAAGGAATAGAGATGAAGAGAAAGAGAGAGGAATAGAGACGAAGCGAAAGAGAGAGGAATAGAGATGAAGAGAAAGAGAGAGGAATAGAGACGAAGAGAAAGAGAAAGGAATAGAGACGAAGAGAAAGAGAAAGGAATAGAGATGAAGAGAAAGAGAGAGGTATAGAGACGAAGAGAAAGAGAAAGGAATAGAGACGAAGAGAAAGAGAAAGGAATAGAGACGAAGAGAAAGAGAAAGGAATAGAGACGAAGCGAAAGAGAGAGGAATAGAGACGAAGAGAAAGAGAGAGGAATAGAGACGAAGAGAAAGAGAAAGGAATAGAGATGAAGAGAAAGAGAAGGAATAGAGACGAAGAGAAAGGAATAGAGACGAAGAGAAATAGAGAGGAATAGAGACGAAGAGAAAGAGAGAGGAATAGAGACGAAGCGAAAGAGAGAGGAATAGAGACGAAGAGAAAAGAAGGAATAGAGACGAAGAGAAAGAGAAGGAATAGAGACGAAGAGAAAGAGAAAGGAATAGAGATGAAGAGAAAGAGAAGGAATAGAGACGAAGAGAAAGAGTGGGGAGTTTAAGCAACAATAAAGTGAGAAAGAAAGAAAAGGAAAAAGAGATCAAGAAATCGAGAATAAAACGGAAACGATAAACGAAGTAAATTTTCAATAATGTGAAACAAATAACAGGATTTCGAGAAAAAGTAGAATTAACTAAGGAAAAAGAAAATGATGACGTTCAATTTAAAAGAAAAATGTAATACAGGTTATTGAGAAAGCTATATATATACATGCACACACATATATATATATATATATATATATATATATATATAGAGAGAGAGAGAGAGAGAGAGAGAGAGAGAGATAGATAGATAGATAGATAGATAGATAGATAGATAGATAGATAGATAGGGAGTAGAGAGAGAGTGGTTTTTCACGAAGAAAGAAAGAGAGAAACACTTAAAGGAAACTTGTCGTTGGTCGATCAATTGCTTCGAGATCAAAGAAATTGCATGCATCTTCAAGAATATGTGATCAACTACGGTCAATGGGAAGTGCCAATTGACTCTATCAGGGATTTAGCAAGAATTGATAACTGATTACTGATATGATGAAATGATCCAGAAATTGACTGTCGTTTTTTTTTTTAATACTTGTTTAGTTCCAAATATTTTAGCTCACTTCAGTGTTTCGTTTGCGTAAAGGGCAAATACGCAATTCTTCGAGAATCAAAGGAAGTTGGCATTCAGCGAGCGAGATTACTCATATACAGTTTAAAATGGTTTGTTCTATAGTTTTATAACACAAAAGTGAAGGCGTTTTTTAATTCTTTTGTATTCATTAAGTCATCACATAACTAATAACAGATGGATTTAATTTTGGGCCAAGTGACAACGTCTCCTATCAAGTACCGCCCTCTCTGTATTCTGATTGTTTGGAGAATCGGGAAGGCACTCATTATTGTTTCTCCATGAAGTGTGCAACTTTTGTATTGCAACTAAACTGCTAGTGAATTCAACCTTGTAACCAGTCACCAATTCTTTGTACTGGGTATCGCAAGCTGGCTAATCCCCCACACCAACATTGGTTCTGATTCCATAATTTATATCTATACCCGTACCACACAGTACCTCAGCTCTTTTCTTGTTATCGGCCAAATCTTGTCAAGACAGCTGTTGACAGTATCCTTCACTACAAGCCTTGGCAGTTCACAACGACTGACTTGACGTTGCATTTTCAAATTCCTTCTCCCCCTGCACACCCCTCTTCCATGAAATTGATTCTACTTCAGATTTTCAGTTCCTTTTATTTTGTACTTATTAAGCTTTTATACTTGTAAAATCTGGTAGATTTCACTGAATAGAAAGTCTCGTCAGTATGCCAGAACTCTCGTTAATATCCGAGCTGGCTCAATTCCTTTAATAATCATAAACACACTTATGTTCTTCAACTTTCCATTTCTTTCTCAAATTCCGAATATATTGTCACAAACTTGGACCTTCATGGCTGTAAAAAATGGTGTGTTAAAAGGACGGTTTTCACATGACACCGTTTTTATTTTAACTACATTCACACCTCGATATCTCCACCTGTAATCACTTTTTATCACCCTTTTTGAGTGTCCTTCGTTTAGTTTGGTTTGTTTTACGGTATATCAATCTCAATGGATTAATTAATGCCGACAAGATTTTTATTGCTGGTAATATATTTTTCTTTTTTTTTTCCAAAGATGTATTGCAGGTAATAATTTTTACTTTGTCATTTTTTTTCCCTTTTGACAACCTTCTTTATTTCTCTGATTCTCTTAGGTTGGTTTGGTTTGTTTTGTTTTACGGTATATCAACCTCAATGGGTTATTTAATGCCGACAAGGACGATTTTTACATGACACCGCTATCTCCTCTTCCACCTGTAATCACTTTTTCTCACTCTTCTTAATTGTCTTTGGTTTGGTTTGTTTTACGGTATATCAATCTCAATGGGTTATTTAATGCCGACAAGATTTTTTATTGCTGGTAATATATTTCTTCCAAAAATGTATTGCTGGTAATATTTTTTTTCAAAAATGCATTGCTGGTAAAAAAATTTTCAAAAATGAATTGTTGTTAATACTTTTTCCAAAAAAGTATTGCTGGTATTAAAATCTACTTTTTAAAAATTCATTGTGTTTTGACCCCTTTTGGGGAGGTAACTATTTACAATCCCTGCTCAGGGTGGATCTGGGACCACCAGCAATTAAGAGTTGGTTCCACGCTCTTGAAAACCTCCTGATCAAAGGCCTGATTCTTTAGTCTTTTCTTTCTTTCTTTCTTTCTTTCTTTCTTTCTTCTTCTTCTTCTTCTCTCTTTCTTTCTTTCTTTCTTTGTTAAGGAAAACTTGAATCGCTGCATTAGCCGTTGGAAATAAATAACAGAAGATCATTTTTTTTCCTCACCATGACCATTCATCTTAATCTGCGTGACCCCATCTCCGCAAGGCCCCACCCTGACACAGTCATACGTGACCAACATCCGTCAATAAATCAAATGAGAAATTAAATATAAACAGTTCCACGTTTTCCGAATATATTTTCGCAAACTTGGACCTTCATGGCTGTAAAAAAAATGGTGTGTTAATAGGACGGTTTTCTCATACCACCGCTTTTATTTGAACTACCTTCACGCCTCACTATCCCCTCCTCCTCCTGTAATCATTTTTATCACTCTTCTTGGGTGGGTTTCGTTTTTGTTTGTTTTGTTTTACGGCATATCAACCTCAATGGGTTATTTAATGACGACAAGATTTTTATTGCTGGTTATATGCTTTTCAAAACGTATTTCTGGTAATATTTTTCAAAAATATATCGCTGGTAATGATATATTGCTGGTAATAATTTTTTCGTGAAAAAATTATTGCTGTTAATATTTATTTTCTTCAAAAATATATACCTGGTATTAAAACCTATTTTTACACTTTCACGGTGTTTTGGCCCTGGTTTGGGGTTAACTATTTGCCCATAGCTGGGACCCTAACAGGTGCTACCACCCTTGGTCAGGGTGGACCTGGGAACACCAGCAATTAAGAGGTGGTTCCACGCTCCTGAAAACTTCTTGATCAGAGGCTTTGCTGCTGGACGTAGTTTATCGTCTTACCCAGGACTCGGATGTAGTTTATCAGCATACCCAGGACGGTGAGTGTCTTTCTAAATCTTCATCTCTCTTTGACTTCTCCTGTCACTGTCAACTAAGGGCGTAGCTGATCAAGTCTCTCCACAACGTCTTTTTTCTTGAATATCTGTAAACTGTGCATCGCAATGATGAGTCTTTGTTAAAATAAGATAGTAGTTTCCCGTTTACTTTTACACATTTATGAATTCAAAGTTTTCCTTCTCCTAGGCTGGTTGTCACCCAAGTCTAGAAAGCCTAGCAAGCTCTGCTAATTTAAATATAGCTTACTAGAAGGTAGGTAGAAATAGTTAGTGGTAAGTGATCCTAAACTGCCTCAACCGAAAATTGAACACTGCCCACCGATTCCATTCTTGTTCTGGTAACCGTTAGACCACTACATCATCATTATTATTATTATTATTATTATTATTATTATTATTATTATTATTGTTGTTATTATTATCATTATTGTTGTTGTTGCTGCTGCTGCTGCTGCTGCTGCTATTGTTGTTGTTGTTATTATTTTATTTCCTTTCATTTCTGGTGTGTATTCATTTTTTCCGGATCCCGACCAGAGACCTAAGGTCAGAAACTATAAATATAGAAAGTTACTTATTTTACATAGATAAAGCCCTTCATAAGGTGTGTTTTGTACTCATGGGAACAATTTTTGTTTTTTGTATTTCTTTCAGGCATGGGCTACCAGGAATCCCTTCAATGTGTCTATTGGAATATTTTCCAATCAATCCAAGGGCTTCAACTACAACGACAATTTTTGAGATTTTGATTTCAAGGCCCATGTATCTTGATAGCTTTTTGAAGATCTTCAAAGATACATTGCAGGAATTTTTGTTTGCATTCTTTAATAACAATGTCTGGGCGATTACTATTATTATTATTATTATTAAAATTATTATTATTTATGTAATCGAATCAGATCCCTGGTGGTTATCAATCAAGCCTTACTACCAGCCTCGTTGTGGTCTGTAGTCTTAAAACTTCCTCAAAAATTCATACAATTTTGACCCAAGTACGCTAACAAATACGAACATGGCCTGAAACTTCATGTTTTAAATCATTGATTCTCGGGGACCCAGTCACATTCCTCCATTTCACTTAGTAGGATTTCACAATTCCTCTCCATTTTAAATTTTCACCACCCACATTATGAATAAAACTAAAATTCTTAACCTGTGCTTAAAAAATGGGCCATCTAGATTTGAAATTTCTTCTCTGCAACTCAGGTCTGTGAGTATATAAATATTTGTCTGACGATCGCAAAAGCGTGAAGCCCAGGGTCACAAACTCACATCAATCCAACCATATATATATATATATATATATATATATATGAAGAAAAATATACTGAAAAAACAAACAAAAATTCTAATATGTGATTATGCTGTTTTAATGTTTAATGTCAACGTCGGACGTTTCGGTCTAATAGACCATCTTCAGGACATATTCATAAAACATAATTAACATAGACCATATACAATTCAACATGAAAAAGACGATGGACATAAAAGCAATACCAATCCAAACACATAACTGAAATCTTTTGTTTGTTTTTTCAGTATATTTTTCTTCATACTGTCGGATCTATATCCATATATTTGCTTTTCACACACACACACACACACACACACACACACACACATATATATATATATATATATATATATATATATATATATATATTGAAGGAAAACAAATATTCGTACACATACAAACTTTTCATTTATTGTCTTTCAAACTAATGAATAAAAATACTTTTAAACAATTAACTGTACACAGATGCATGCAAACTAATAATAATAACTATAATAATCTTTATATGTGTGTTCGAATATTTTTACCCATTATATGTACATTTATATATATATATATATATATATATATATATATAAACATGTATGTATGTGTGTAAAAATTTCTCAGAATAAACCTAATAGAAAAAGCCAATATATATAAAAGAAAAAAAAACTGTTCTTTTAGCCGACGCGTTTCGTCCAATGTGGACTTTTTCAAGGCAAAAACGAAGTGAATTTATTGAAACAAAGTATCTCTAAACAAAAAATAAAATGTCGTTAGGAACTAGGAAAATTTAGCAAACGCAATTGTATATTCATTGACGGATTCAACCGTTTTATTTTGATTTCATGATATATTTGTTGTGTAGGTTGGCTTGGGGAAGTAGTGTATTCTCTTAGGAAAAGTGATATTGGAAAAAACACCTATACATGTTTTATTGAATATGATGGAAAATAATATACGTTTTTTCATTCAATTATATATAAAGAGTAAAGGCATTACAACAATATGCTGTCAAAAATTCGAAGTTGTAATGGCTGAAATAACAGAGCACAGTTA